ATATCGACCCAGAATCCAATGCAAACAGAACTGGTCACATTGCCCATCTCTTCCCTTGAAAAGCCCTTGAGTTCAGTTGCTTACAACTTTGCTAAACCTCCTCCATCTGGACTGAAACCTTTCACCCTGGAGCTACGTCCCTGCTGCAAGTTCCTTGCGCAAGAACTAATCTCTTTCCTGATTAGTTGTAGCTAAATTAGCCCCCATCATATTATATGTATGGTTGGGGTTATTTTTTCCAAGGTGCGGTACTTTACGCTTATCCACACTAGATTTCATTTGCCATCTTGTTGCTCAATCGCTTAGTTTTGTGAGATCTTTTGGAAGTTCTTCAGTCTGCTTTGGTCTTCGCTACCTTGACCAGTTGAGTATTGTCTGCCAACTTTGCCCCCTGCCTGTTTACTGCTTCTCCAGATCATTTATGAATAAATTCAATAGGATTGGTTCTAGGATTGACCCATATTTCTACAAGGGGAGATGTGAGCTGGAAGCAGCCAAGGGCGCAGGCCACACTCCATGCATCCTGAACGGTGCTGCACGCCGACAGCCTGCAGCCATGCCTGCCCCTGACACAGCAGCTGCTCCTAGGGAAAGCGCAGCGAGCCAGCCTTGTGATCATGGCCTCCAGTCTGCTCCCAACCCTTCTGCTGCCCCTGCAGGAATCCCCCCCATTGCAGTCACACACTTCCCTGGGTTACTTGCCCAAAGACTGGGGGAGCAGGCAGCCAGGCCTCTGGCCCACTGTGTCTTGCTGCAGGAACAGTGCACTCCCCAGTAGCCCTGGCTACGTCTCCAAGGAAATCAATGATAGTCCAAGAACCCAGAACTCGTCAGCCACACTTGCTCCCGTGCAACGAGGATGTGCACGCAAACATGAGGCAATGTCTACACTGGCAGCTTCTTGTGCAAGAACATCTTGCACAAGGATTCTTGTGCAAGGACTTTTGCACAAGAAAACGTCCACACTGCCCTGTGCGAGCTGTGCTTTTGCGCAAGAGCACCCATGGCCATGTGGACACACTCTTGCACAAGAAAGCTCTGATGGCCATTTTAGCCACAGGGCTTTCTTGTGCAAGAAATCCCTGCTGAGCGTCCACACTGCCCTCTTGCGCAAGAGCTCCTGCACAAGAGGGCTTACACCTGTTAGAAAAGAGTGTAGTTCTTGCACAAGAAGCCCTCTCTTACCACACCGGACTGTACATTTCCTTGCACAAGAAATCGCGAATGTAGACATAGCCAGAGCGTGTAGGCTTGCAGACAGTGAGAAGAGGAGAAGCCATGTGCTCTACTGTGGGGAGTGAGTGTGCACAGTACTACGCAGACAGGCACAGCACACCAAGTGGCTAGGACACACACAAGGGGTCTTCATTTGCACTCTCCCCCAAGGGTTACAGGAAGCATGCAGGCTGCTCTTCCCCTCCCATAAACAGCTGACGCGCTTCCTGACACACCGGGTCTGTTGCTTGGCCAGAGACTTCCTTCCCATTGCTGCCTGCCTGCGTAGGGTGTGTGTGTGTAGGCGTCCCGGGACTGCGTGCTCTTCCTCTGCTCCCCACGACACCCCCGTGCTTCCCGAGAAGTTGGAACTGGCATGCAGTCCCGGGACTCCTACTCCCCCCCTCCCCCCCATCTAACCCAATCC